GCCATTCAAATTATAAATCTAAAAATTAAAACCAAAGTTGTAAAAAGAAAATCGCTTCTTAAAAAAAAAAGTTTCAGGCCTCCATGAGATAACAACAAAGAATGACTAAATCAAGGGGAAAATCTTAGAACTGAGCACTGAAAGCAGAAAATGATTGAAAGAGACTTAAATTATGCACGGTGGTTAAGCTCTCGGCTGCTAACTGGAAAGGTCAGCGATATGAACCCACCAGCCGCTCTGTGGGATAAAGATGTGGCAGTCTGCTTCCATAAAGATTACAGCCTTGGAAACCCTGTGGAACAGTTCTACCCTGTACTGTAGGGTCGCTATGAGTTGGAATCAACTTGATGGCAATGGGCTTTTTTTTTTTTTTTTTAATAGTTACAAATTTAAAATTAAAAGGAAAAAACAGTAAAAGATAATCTTTTAAAGATAGGATTAAAGAAAGAAAAATGTTTTTGGAGAGTGGCGAATGAGGATGATGGAGAAAAATAGTGCATGGAGAGAAACAAATAGCTCTATTCCTATCATATAAAGAGGAATCAAAAGTTATTGCTCCGTGTTTGACTTTGATAGAGGGGTATAAATGTAAGATTTTATTTGAAAGCTTTGAAGTAACCACTGACTATTAACTACAGGAAGCTTCTCTTTGAAACTACTAACGAATATATTTAAAAAACCAAACAAAAACAGACTATAAAGCATAACAACGGTTGTGAGGCTGGCGCAGGACTGGGCAGTGTTTTGTTCTGTTGCACGCAGGGTCGCTACCAGTCAGAACTGACTCCACGACACCGAACACCAACAACGACATATAGCAAAGGGATAAATGGAATGGAAAAAGAAATTAAGTATAGAAAGTACAACCATTAAATATAAGAAACTCAAATTTCCCTTTATTAACTAGCAAAGATTCGCAGATCAATAAGAAATAAAGTTCTACTCTTAGCTGCTTATAAAGGGCACACTTAAATGACATAGAAATGTTAAAAATAAACATTACATGATGATACAGCAGACAAATATAAATGAAAAGAAAGCCAAAGTGACTATATTCATAATTAAACCAAAACCAAACGAGTTGCTGTCAAACCAACTCCAACTCATGGCAACCCCATGTGTGTCAGAGTAGAACTGTGCCCTATAGGGTTTTCTTTTCTTTATTTTGTTGTTGTTGTTGAGAATATACACAGCAAAACATACACCAATTCAACAGTTTCTATACGTATAATTCAGTGACATTGATTACATTCTTTGAGTCATGCAACCATTCTCACCCTCCTTCTCTGAGTTGTTCCTCCCACATTAACATAAACTCACTGCCCCCTAAGTTCCTATCTAGCCTTTCAAGTTGGTGTTGTCAATTTGATTCCATACGGATAATTCTTAAAAGAGCATAATGCTCCAGGTAGACATTTTTTATTAGTTAAGCTAAACTACTGTTTGGTTTTAAGAAGATTTCAGGGGATATTTTTGGTTTAAGGTTTAAGGTTATCTCAGGGCAATAGTTTTGAGGGTTCATCCAGCCTCCATGGCTCCAGAAAGTCTGGAGTCCATGAAAATTTTCAATTCTGTTCTGCATTTTCCCCCTTTTGATCAGGATTCTTCCATAGTATCTTTGATCAAAATGTTCAGCAAATGGTAGCCAGGAACCATCCAGGAGGCAGTTGTTCATGGAGGTAATTAGCCACATATTCCATATCCTCCTCCTATTCCAGACTCTCCTTCTTCCTCTGTGGCTCCAAGTGAATAGAAACCAATTGTTGTGCCTTGGATCCATTGGGTTTTCAATGGCTGATTTTTTTGAAGGTTATCACCAGGCCTTTCTTCCGAGGCACCTCTAAGTGGACTCGAACCTCCAAGCATGTTAACCATTTGCACCATATTCATAATTAGTATTATAGAATTTAAGAAAAAATCCGCTAATCAGGATTAAGCAAGTCATTTTATATTAATAGAAGAAAAACTCAACTGTGAAGACAAATGCAGTAATCTTTTATGCACTAAATGGTACAATAGAAAATACATAAAGTAAAATAGAATTTAAAGAGCCGAGGGGAAACAAAACAAAAAAACAACAGTTACTATTGAGTCCATTCTGACTCAGGGCAAACCCATGTGTGTCAGAGTAGAACTGTGCTCTGTAGGGTTTTCAATAGCTGTGATCTTTTGGAAGTAGATCAGGCCTTTCTTCCAAAGTGCCTCTAGGTGGACTTGAACCATCAGCCTTTCAGTTAACAGCCAAGTGATTAACAGTCTGTGCCTCCCATAGGCAAAGACAAATTGCAGCAGCAGACTTTAACATACTATAGGTTAAGACGGATCAAACGGGCAAAATATAAATTAGAATACAGAATTACGTAAATAATATATTAATACAGTTTAATAGTCTTGGATTTGGTTTTAAACAAGTAGGTAGTCCACTTTTTCCACAAGTATCCAAGAAACAGTCGCCAAAATGAATTATCTACCTATCAAAAACAAAACCTTCCATAAATAAATCAGCAGAAATTACATTGGCCATATCCTCTGCCCACAATACACAAAAACCTGGGAAACAGAAGTCTCATTGGCTAGCTAAAATTAAATCGAGAACTACAAAACAAAATGCATGGGGTGTAATCAAGAGACCAGGACTTTTTATTTATTTTTTTTATGATTTTTTTTTTCTAAATTGTACTTTAGATGCAGGTTTAGGGAACAAACTAGTTTCTCATTAAACAGTTAGTACACATATTGTTTTATGGCATGGGTTAACAACCCCACGACATGTCAACAGTCCCTTCTCGACCTTGGGTTCCCTATTACCAGCCTTCCTGTCCTCTCTTGCCTTCTAGTCCTTGTCCCTGGGCTGGTGTGCCCCTTCAGTCTCGTTTTGTTTTATGGGGCTGTCTAATCTTCGGCTGAAGGGTGAACCTCAGGTGTGACTTCATTACTGGGCTAAAAGGGTGTCCGGGGGCCATACTCTCGGGGGTTTTCCAGTCTCTGTCAGGCCCGTAAGTCTGGTCTTTTTTTGGTGAGTTAGAATTTTATTCTCTATATTTTCTCCAGCTCTGTCCGGGCCCCTCTGTTGTGATCCCTGTCAGAGCAGTCGGTGGTGGTAGCCGGGCACCATCTAATTGTACTAGATTCAGTCTGGTGGAGACTTGGACTTTTTAGATCGGTTGTTCAAAACAAAAAAGCGACTTCACAGGATGGGGCCAAAATGATTCTCCGAGAGCCGTCACTGCACAAATTCTGACAAAAGGAATTACATAAATCAACACACAACCTGAGCATTTAGGAAAGAGAAAAGTCCCCAGGAAATCAGGAAAAGGAAATGTAGAAAGACAAAAAGAGAAATAAGTGAATTAGGAAAGAGGAAAACACCAGAATTAATAAATTTGCCAGCTGGTTCTTACACGCGTATGTTGGAGTTTGGGGGGGTAACAGCAGCCTAAACAAGACACATACCTCTGACAACTACGACAAAGAAAAACGATTCAGATGAGCATAACTAGAAATAGGAAAGAGGATGTTAAGATAAGACGGCGAGAACAAAAATAATTTTAAAAACTGCCTCATCACTCGTGTGCTAATTCATTTAAAAACCTTGATGTAGTTGATGATTTTCAGACAAAACATAATTTACCACAATTGATACCAGAGGAGTTGGCCCAAGAAGTACTGGTTCTTGGTCTAATTTTCTCTTTACTTTAATTTTCACTTCACTTTCAGAAGTGATTAGACCAATAACCATCGAAGAAACTGAGAATATTATCAAAGAATTATCCTTGAAACAGGCACTAATTTATTTCAAATTTTCAAGGAACTCTATCAGCTATTTCTGCACATAAGAGACCATTAATTAATTTCCATTACTAAACTAACTTACCCAAATACTAAAACTTGAGAACTGTAGCACAAAAGAGAAAAATTATTGCTCAAATGCCTTCATGAATACAGATGCAAGCATCCTGTTTTAGATATTTCCAGATAGAATTTTGTATATTGAAATTATAGTTTATCATGGCCAAATAAGATTTACCATAGAAATGCAAGCCTGTTCCCACATTAGGAAAGCTATTTCTATTGTACATTATATTATTAAAGCAAAAAGGAAAAGCTGTCTGGTTGTATGAATAGATAGCTTTCCAGAAAAGTCATTTATGAGGAAGGA